GACAGTGCCCCAGGCGCCGCCCGGCGCAGCGAACGCGTTAGCAGGGGAAGAGGAAGGAAAAGGCGCTGCGCTTCAGTATATTTTCCAATAAATACATGTCTCCTTTAAACATAGTCGGCAGCCTTATTTTCTACTTTGAAAGCAAATTTCGTTCGAAGAATTAAATTTCTATTTTCCTTGCTCATTAATGGACAGCAGAAGTCCAGCTCTGATGCGGGAAGTTGAAGTTACTGGCAGTTTTTTCATGCTGTTTTGCTTGAAACGCCTAACATGGAAGTGGCAGAAATTAATATCGCTATTTACCCAGCTTCTTGTGAAAGCAGGACATGGCTCTGTGCTGCATCACCTTTGCTAGCTCTACTAAAAATAAAGGCGGAGAAAAAAAAGTGTTCATGGTAGAGAAGCTGTCAAAGTACATCGTGGTTATGATCCCAATACTCCACTCTGCAACATGGAAAACAGGCCAGAAGGCCCTTCCATCTACTCAGTGTCGCTGGCTTCGATGGCGCTGCAGCGGAGCCCCGCTCCCATGTTCAAGCAATGACACTCGATGCTTTCGCTGCACAGGGTTTCAAGCCACGAAGGCTCCCGAGCTCCCGGTGCTGTTTCACGTTCAGTTTCAGCATTGAAGAACTAAAACCTTTGGAGAAACCCAAGCACGGTTTTCTTGATTCGCACGCAAACCTTAACTGTTCCATCTTTATCAATACGACATTATAAATGATAAATATTTATGAAACCCTGGGCATTCAAAGGTGGACGTTGCCACACAATTTTCCTATGGCTTTAAATCTGTAAAATAAAATTCTGATATAGATGGGTCTTTTCCCCACATCAGTACTATACTGGCCATAATGCCTCAACCAGTTCAAGTGCAGCTGCTGAAAACCCCAAGTTTTGTTTTAAAATGGATTCTCTGCAGAGATGTCAACACTGCACTGTGAGCAGTAAACGTTTCCACCACGAGGTGTCTCAGAGGTTGGAGCACTGGAAGAAGAAATTTGGGACCCACTCCAACAGAGCACAAAACAATTCCTCAGTCACACCTGCTTTTCTGTTCAGTAAACAACAAAGAATTCAGTATAAAATAGTTTTTTTTTTCTGCCTTTGTTTAAACACTGGAGCCTCAATCACCCTCACAAGTGACACCATTTCTTTCTGATCTCAAATCTTTTCATAGCATAATTCTGCTCCCAGACCTGCTTAAATCTGGAAAACTAACTTGAAGTCAACAAACTAGCCAGGA